CTGTTTGCTGTCCTCTTGAACAACTTTGCTGTCCTCTATGATTTGAGTTGCTTTATTTTTAATTAAATTCGAAACATCAAGAGCCAAATGCTGTCCCATTGATCTTAAATGCAGCCTTTTTCCTTCCTGCTCCTCCATTTCTGCATTGGCCAAGTCTTTTTGAGGTGCCGAGGCATAATCTGTATATTTAAAGTCTGACGAGTAAAAAGCTTTTGTTTTGCTGCCCCAAGCCCTATCGTTCGGCAAATCGTCATCCTCCTGCATCCCTTCGATGTCAGATTCCATCGAATCTTGCCGATCATCTTCCTCCTCCTCGCTGCCATCTCGCAGCCCATAAACTTCGTCGTCACTATCGAAATTTTCAGTGGTCCGCTGCTTCCGTACTTTCTCCAGCAATTTCTTCTCAGTCTCTGTATATTCTTCTTCCGAATCGGTCACAGCATTCATATCCACGTCCTCGATATCGTCTTCCACATCATCAATGTCCTCATTATTGAGAGGCTTTCTTGTTCTAACATGGAGAGAAATAATTTAAAGTTATTATTTTCATAAAATAACACAGGAAAAACATGCAATCAAAAAGTATCTAAAGTATCTTGACATGTAAAACTTTAAAAATGTTAATATTATAAAAAAATAAAATTTATCTACTTGTTCTATACTTGGAGGAGTTGACTTAATTAATATCGTACTCGACATTTATTATTAGAAGTTATATCAAATTTTGTCAAAGATTATAGTTATCTTTTCTTAGTTTAATTGATTTAATACATTTTTTTAGCTGTTACCTTTTTTTTCGAACCATATTTACGAGTAAATATAATAGTGCTTCGAAGAAATGTAAATAGTTCTCACATGTTGTATTTACAACTTAACCTTAAAATAACTTAACCAGAAATTAGTCATAAGCAAGAAGTGCAATCGTAACGTAAGATTAGAGACCCTCAATCAGGGTCAAGCCATACGATATCCAATTTTGATTGGTCTTCAAGATTGAATCTATTCCCGATCATATTTGAATTACACTAATCTTACCAT